AATAAATTATAATAGCCAATTAGTTGCTTGCTGCATTGCATGGAATCAAGGAAAATGATTAGCCAATTTATCTTTGTATTGGCCAATCAAAGGGTGGTTGTCAAATGTTAATGTTATGATAGGCTGCAGTGAGGCACTCCCTAGAGGGTACAACATTTGTAGGACTCCTATTTGTATGCTTGCAAACCCTAATCCCAACCTTTCCGTTGCATTCATATTCTGAGATGGTATCACAAGTAGGTTAGATCCTCGTTCGTTTTTTTTTAGCTAGCCTCCGCGCCCTACGCGCCCTCCGTGCTCTCGCGCCCTCCGCGCCCTCCGCGCCCTCCGCGCCCTCCTCGCGCCTAGCCCGCGCCCTCCCGCGCTGTCCAGCCTGTCGCGCGCCCTCCTTAGACCTCCGCGCGCCCTCCCCCACCGTTGCGCGCCCTCCAAAACCGTCGTGCGCCCTCCTTAGACCGCCGCGCGCCCTCCTCAACCGTCGCGCGCCCTCCTCAACCGTCGCGCGCCCTCCTTAGACCGTCGCGTGCCCTCCCCTCCGCCTGTCGCGCGCCCTCCTCCGTCAACGCTTCCCGCACACCAGCGTGAGCTTACCGCACACCTGCGTGCACTTACCGCATCACTCTGTGTGCGCTTCCCGCACACCTGCATGCGCTTCCCGCACACCTACGTGCACTTACCACACACCTGCGTGCACTCACCGCACACCTGCGTGCGCTTACCGCACACCTGCGTACACTTACCGCACACCTGCGTGCGCTTACCGCACACCTGAGTACACTTACCGCATCACTCTGTGCGCTTACTGCATCTCTCTCCCCTTCACATGTGCACCGGTCCCACGCCATTCATACTGCACTTGGCTCCCGGCTCAGCGGCTGGCAGCCGCTCTTCCCTCCGGTAGCGCCACCTAGGTTCGGTTAGAGCCCCGCCCCACGACTATTTTCTCGCCGACTGTCTCTCGTCGGTTTCCCCGCTGGCGTCCCTAGCCTTCCGTAGTTTTCCTCCTCGTTCTTAGCTCCGCCTCCGCCGTGCTCCAGTCGCCTCTAGCATGGGCTCCGCTATGGAGGCCCGTCGCCTCCGTTTCGATGCTGAGGGACGCGCGATTGAGTTCGGTACCTGGCAGCGCCAGACCACACGTTTCCTCACCAGCCAGCGTCAGGACGGCGCCACCTTGTGGGCCCACGCGTCGGGTGCTCTCGCGACAGGTAGCGTCTCCCTCCCCGCAGTCCTCCTCACAGTCCCCTCAGCAGCCTTCGGCACTTCCGCGACCGGCTACTGTGGACTCGGTTGGTGTTGGAGCTGGAGGTGCAGCCGCTGGCGGTGCTCGGTCTGGGGGTGCTCGGTCGCGGGGTGCTGGGGGTGTTGGAGCTGGAGGTGCTGGCGTAGGTGGTGCTAGTTCTGGGGGTGCTGGAGTTGGAGGTGCTGGCGCAGGTGGTGCTAGCTCTGGGGTGCTGGAGCTGGAGGTGCTGGCGCAGGTGGTGCTAGTTCTGGGGGTTCTGGAGTTGGAGGTGCTAGCACTGGAGGTGCTAGTTCTGGGGGTGTTGGAGTTGGGGGTCCTGACACTGGAGGTGTTGGTTCTGGGGGTGCTGAGTCTGAGGAGACTGGAGCTGGAGACCCTGGTTCTGCGGAGTCCACTCCGCCTCCCCACCGCCACGACACGCGTCTCCAGGCTGCCCGTCGGCGTGAGCGTAAGGAGCAGGAGCGGTTGGAGCGGGAGCGGCAGGAGCTGCGGGTGCTGGACCTTCTGGAGCAGCAGCGGCAGCAGCAGCAGCAGCAGCAGCAGCAGCAGCAGCAGCAGCAGCAGCAGCAGCAGCAGCAGCAGCAGCAGCAGCAGCAGAAGCCGCAGCCGCCGCCGCAGCCGCAACAGCAGCAGCCGCAGCCGCCGCCGCAGTCGCAGCTGCAGCAGCCGCAGCCGCCACCGCAGTTTCCCCTGGAGCGGCAGTTGTTCCCATCTGTGAGTGGCCTGCGGGCCCTTGGCTTTTCCTCCTCTCCTCCTGTCCGCTCCCAGTCTCCTCCTGTGTTTGTTCCTCCGTTGCCTCCTCCTGACGACCGTCCGGCGGTCTGGTCTTCTCCTCCTCCTCAGTCTCCTCCTCCTTCGGTCCGTCACGACTTGATCACTCGTTGTCCTCCGCGTGCTCGTCACTCGTCCCCTGTTACTGACCTCCACACTGCCCTCCTTTGTACGTCTCGTCGTCGTTCTCCTTCTCCTGTGTCCGTTCTCCCGTCTCCTCCTCCGTCCTCTCTCCCAGCCCTCCCCACTCCTATCACTGACTACTACCGCACTGTTCGTCCTGTTGCCGCACGTGTCCTCGCCACTCTTGTCACCGACTCTCGTTTCCCTCCGTCGTCGGTCTCTGCTCTTACTGCCGCTGTCGCTGAGTTTGCTGCCGCCAGCCGCCTTGACTACGCCACCCGTGTGGTGCCAGCTCCTCCCTACCGTCCTCTGTCCGTCGGGGGTGAGTTTGCCCTTGGCTGTGACGTCCTAGAGGACAGAGAGTCTGAGCTGGAGTACTGGGCAGCCGCTTCTCCCTCTGTGTGTGCCATGCTGCTCTTCCCTGAGGGAGACCCCGACGCCCTTGACATACCGACTCCTCGCACTTACTGCGAGGCAGTGTCAGGGGCGTGGGCCTCTCAGTGGAAAGCGGCTATGGACTCAGAGTTGGCGTCTTGGAGATCCACAGGCACCTACGTCGACGCAGTTCCCCCTCCCAGGGCGAACGTAGTCGATGGCATGTGGCTCTTCAAGGTGAAGCGGCCGCCTGGAGCACCGCCGGTGTTCAAGGCGCGCTACGTGGCTAGGGGCTTCAGTCAGCGTGAGGGAGTTGACTTCTTCCAGACCTTCGCCCCGACCCCGAAGATGACTACTCTTCGGGTGTTACTCCACATAGCAGCGCAGCGAGACTACGAGCTGCACTCCCTTGACTTCTCTACTGCGTTTCTCCAGGGCCGACTACACGAGGAGATCTGGCTGCGCCGCCCTCCTAGCTTCACTGACACCTTCCCACCTGGGACCCAGTGGAGCCTGAGACGGCCAGTCTACGGTCTCCGCCAGTCGCCCCGTGAGTGGCACGACACTCTTCGCTCCACGCTTCGTGACCTTGGGTTCAGCCCGTCCTCCGCCGACCCGTCGTTGTTTGTTCGAGCGGGTTCTACTCCTTTCTTTATCCTTGTCTACGTCGACGACTTGGTGTTTGCTACAGCAGACAGGGCAGCCCTGGCTCAGGTGAAGTCCGAACTGCAGAAGAGACACAAGTGCACTGACCTGGGTGAGCTGCAGCGTTACCTTGGCTTGCAGATCACCCGGGACAGAGCCGCTCGCACCATCACACTGACGCAGTCACACATGGTGCAGCAGGTCCTTCGGCGGTTCGACTTCCAGTTCTCCACCACTCAGCCCACTCCTCTTGCTGTTGACCACAGACTCACGAGCCCCTTTCCTGACGAGCCCTTTGAGTCCAGTGGACCCTACGCAGAGCTGGTGGGTTGCCTCATGTACCTGATGACTTGTACTCGACCGGACCTCGCCTTTCCCCTCAGCATCCTTTCTCGCTTTGTTGCGATTGGGAGACACCGCCCTGTCCACTGGACAGCTGCTGTGAGGGTGGCGAAGTACCTGGCGACTACATCAGGCATGGGGCTTGTGCTTGGAGGGACTCAGCCAGTGGCGTTGACTGGTCACTGCGACTCTTCCTACGCTGACGACGTGGAGACTCAGCGCTCGACTCAGGGTTACTGCTTCAGTCTGGAAGCTGGTGCTGTGTCGTGGAGGTCTACACGGTCGTCGTCTGTGGCTACTTCCAGTGCAGAGGCAGAGATCTACGCTGGTGCCATGGCGGCACAGGAGCTTCGCTGGTTGACCTTCTTGCTCGCCGACCTTGGTGAGCGGCCTCGCTCTGCACCGACCTTGTACGCTGACAACAAGGCCATGATCCTCCTGTGTCGAGAGCCTCGACTGGAGAGCAAAGTGAAGCATATTGACGTGAGGTACTTCCTCCTACGAGAGCTGCAGCGACGCGGCCAGGCACGCCTGGACTTTGTGGCCTCAGAGGCCAACACTGCAGACGTCTTCACCAAGGCCTTGGCGCTTGGTGACCACCACAGGTTCTGTGTGCAGTTGGGGCTTGTTGAGGTAGGCCCTAGGTTGCTGTAGTCCTGTTGCTTCCTCTGCTTGTTGTGCTTTGTATTTATATCCTAGTGAACTCTTGAACTGGCCTTATGGCCGCTTGCTTGCGCTCGGAATTTGTGTGGTGTCCTTGAGATCCACCCTGAGCTTGTCTTGCCTTGACTGGTCTTGTGACCGTTTGTTTCACCTTGCTTGCCCTGGTGTCCCTCACTTAGCCTATGGGGGTGTGTCAAATGTTAATGTTATGATAGGCTGCAGTGAGGCACTCCCTAGAGGGTACAACATTTGTAGGACTTCTATTTGTATGCTTGCAAACCCTAATCCCAACCTTTCCGTTGCATTCCTATTCTGAGAGTGGTTTCTCAAAACGAAGGGAGAAGGTTTGGTTTGGACAACAGCAATCAGGGGCCAGGGCCACCCGTCTGTGTGATCTGATGAAATTCTCCAATGGGCTTTCAGCATACACTGTCTACAATCTAGCTCCTTTGCACTGTACAAACTATTATGGCCAGCCTCGGACAAGCAGAGAAATGAGTTGATAGCATCATACACTCGCTCAACCTCTGCGTTCTGCACAGCCCCCTAACCTCACAATTCGAGTGTGCAATGCACAGGAAAGTGAGGTAACCAACAGCACAGCACAGCACAGCACAGCACAGCACAGCACAGCACAGCGCGGCGGTAGACAAGGAAGAGGTGGTGAAAGGCGGGGCAGAGGAGGAGGAGCAGGTCGTCAACTGAAAGAGGCAATGCATTGGAAAGTGACGGTATTACCTACGTAAGGCTACCACCACCACCAACCGCACAGCACAGCGCGGCGATAGACGAGGGAGAGGTGGAAGGCGAGGCAGAGGAGGAGAAAATTGAGACACCATCCTCAGAGATTCATTCCCCATCTCAAACCCCCGGCATCGTCCCCATAGGCCATCACATTTCCGAATACACTCTCCCCTCCCCCACCTCTCCACACCCGTCCCCCACCCTCCAAACCTCCCTCGTGTCTCTGCCCTCCCCCACCCTCCGATCCTCCCTCGTGCCTCTGCCCTCCACCACTCGCACCATCACGAGTGGCGAAGAGCCTTGTAAAAGGGATGGAGCGGGCGGGGGCGGCGGGGAGGACAGAGGCTACTGAAAGCACAGTGTGGCGGTAGATGAGGGAGAGGTAGAAGGCAAGGCAGAGGAGGAGAAGGAGGAGCAGGAGGAGAAGGAAAACGCACCCTCAGAGATTCATTCCCCATCTCAACCCCCTAGTGTCATCCCCATAAACCCTCGCATCTCCAAAGCCCCTCTCCCCTCCCCCACCCCTCCACCTGGCCCCTCCCCCCTCCCCTCCATGCACTGCCCCTGCATCATCTCGTGTAGCGAAGAGCCTTGTAAAAGGGATGGAGCGGACGGGGGCGGCGGGGAGGACAGAGGCTGCTGCGAGGACAGCGTGGCGGTAGATGAGGGAGAGGTAGAAGGCGAGGCAGAGGAGGAGGAGGAAATCGTCTAACAGGCCGACGATTCCCATGGCGACTGGTGGGAAGGAGGGAGCAGAGGGAGAACAAGGAGGAGAGAAGGCATGGGAAAGGGCAGACACATAGGTGAGAAGGGTGGCGTTAGATAAGGCAGAGGAGGAGAAGCAAGTCGTCTAAGAGACCCACGATTCCCATGGCGACTGGAAGGACGAGAGAACAAGGGGAGACACAGCACAGGCATATGGGTGAGAAAGAGCACAGTGTGGCGGTAGATGAGGGAGAGGTGGAAGGCGAGGCAGAGGAGGAGGAGCAGGTCGTCTAATAAACCAACAAGTCCCATGGCAACTGGAGGGACAACACGCAGGGCAGGTGGGGGAGCAGGGAGGAGAAAGGGCAGCAGATATATATAGGTGAGAAAGAGCGTGGCACTAGATGGGGGAGAGGTAGAAGGCGAGGCAGAGGAGGAGGAGCAGGTCGTCTAAAAGACCGACTATGCCCATGGCGACTGGAGATAAGGGAGAACAAAGGAAGAAAAAGCACAGGCATATGGGTGAGAAAGAGCACAGGGTGGCGGTAGATGAGGGAGAAGTGGAAGGAGAGGCAGAGGAGGATCAGATCGCCTAATAAACCGACAACTTCCATGGCGACTGAAATGGAGTAAAAACGTAGATGGCGGAGAGGTAGAAAAACGTAGATGATGGAGAGGTAGAAAAACGTAGATGGAGAAAAAGCACAGTGAGAAAGAGCACAGTGAGAAAGAGCACAGTGAGAAAGAGCACAGTGAGAAAGAGCACAGTGAGAAAGAGCACAGGGAGAAAGAGCACAGGGAGAAAGAGCACAGTGAGAAAGAGCACAGTGAGAAAGAGCACAGTGAGAAAGAGCACAGTGAGAAAGAGCACAGTGAGAAAGAGCACAGTGAGAAAGAGCACAGGGTCGCAGTAGACGAGGGAGAGGTGGAAGGCGAGGCAGAGGAGGAGGAGGAGCAGATCGTCTGACTGAAATGAGGAGCAGGGGGGGCAGGAAATTAACGGAACGGATTTCTATCTCTTGCTTTTTCCCCCCTTCCTTTGCTTTATATTCATAAAAAGGGGATATGCAATGAATGCACAGCATCACTTACATTCTGGAATGAGGTCAAATGGTGACAGAACATACACGAAAACAATAGCCACCTGCAGATTTGATTATAACGTGGATATAGGGGAAATCAGTTATGAACACGGAAAATGGTGGCATTTATGGAAGGGATGAGCACACATTGCAATTACCATGGGGGGTGAGATGTCATGAGATGTAATAAAAGAAATGAAGCGACATAAACAAACACAACGGCCACCTGCGTTAGAAGAGCATCATGTATGATACGAGGGCGAAATCAGTTGGAAACGGTGAAAGGAGCCGTGTTTTGAGTCGACTCAAAACACTCTTCATTCAAAGATCATGCTGTATGATATGAGGGCGAAATCAGTTGGAAACGGGGAAGATCTGTGATAACTTTGAACGGAAAAAAAAAAGGGACAGATGAAGAATTTACTCACACAGAACACCATTCGAGCGTTGTGCAGCAGCAGAGAGCTCTTACTGGGTCGGAGAGGTGTGAGGCATGCTCGCACAGATTGATGCACATACACACGCCCGCGCGCCCGCCTGCCCGCCCGCCCACTAGCACTCACCCACTAGCACCGCGCTCTACTCACACAGAACACCATTCGCGCGTTGTGCAGCAGCAGAGAGCTCTTACTGGGTCGGAGAGGTGTGAGGCATGCTCGCACAGATTGATGCACACACACATACACACGTGCTAGCCGCGCTGCGCTCTACTCACACAGAACACCATTCGCGAGTTGTGCAGCAAGCGGAGTGAGGCGGAGCGGTCTAGCAACGCGTGCTACTCACCCACTAGCACCGCACTCTACTCACACAGAACACCATTCGCGCGTTGTGCAGCAAGCGGAGGGCCCTCAGCGGGTCGGAGAGGTCTAGTAACGCGTGCTTGCACAGATCGACTCGCAACCACAGACGCACCCACACCCTAGCCCCGTTCTACTCACACAGAACACCATTCGCGCGTTGTGCAGCAAACGGAGGGCCCTTAGCGGGTCGGAGAGGTCTAGTAACGCGTGCTTGCACAGATCGACTCGCAACCACAGACGCACCCACACCCTAGCCCCGTTCTACTCACACAGAACACCATTCGCGCGTTGTGCAGCAAACGGAGGGCCCTTAGCGGGTCGGTCAGGTCCCGACCGAGTCGAGAGAGAAGCAGCGGCATGTCCAGGATGCGCTGCAGAGTGGTGACGAGGGGTGGGAATGGATGGGAAAGAGATCAGGAGATGTTGGGAGTGGTGGGAAGGGGTGGAAAGAGGTAGGGGGAGGGAGTTGGTAACAGCCATGAGGAGAGCCCTGAGCGGGTCAGAGAGGTTGCGAGCAAGCCGAGAGAGGAGCAGAGGCGTACCCAGGATGGGCTGGTAAGTGGGGGGAAGATTGGGAAGAGGTGGAGGGAATTGACTTTTAAGTCGACTCAAAAGTCAAAAGTCAACTTTTGAGTCGACTCAGAAGTCAACTCGACTCAAAAGTCAAGCCGAGAGAGGAGCAGAGGCGTGCCCAGGATGGGCTGGTAAGTGGGGGGAAGATTGGGAAGAGGTGGAGGGCGAGATGAGAAGAGTGATTAGTTAGTCTGACTAAGGGAGGAGCAGAGGCATGTAGAGGAAGCGCTGGTGTGTGGAGAGAGAGAGGGAGTTGAGAATTGCAAGGAGGAGAGTGTTCACATGGTCTGACAAAGGGTAGCATCATCCCACCTGAGCCGAGCCAAAGAGTGTTTACAGAGACACGGGCACCCCTCCAAAGAGCCGGTTATATCGAACCACCTCCCTCGGCAGCTCCACTGAGTGAGCTGAGTGACTGAGTGAGAGGGACAGGGCGCTGCCACAACTTGACTCAACTCTGTAAAAGCACACTGGTAACACACCTGTGGAGCGAGTTTTATTAACACCTCCGCTAGCATCCTACCTGCCACAGCGACACGGGCGCCCCTCCAAAGAGGCGGTTGTAGCGAGCCACCTCCCTGAGCAGATCAAGAGAGTGCATGGTCACATGCAGACTCATCTTGCTACACAGGTACGATAACACACTGGCAACACACTCTTGAAACACCTGCAGCACCAGTTTACCTGCCACAGCGACACGGGCACCCCTCCAAAGAGGCGGTTGTAGCGAGCCACCTCCCTCAGCAGCTCAACAGAGTGCTCCGGGGAGAGGGAAAGGGAGCTATCAAACCAGCAATTACCTTGTTACAAAGCTCTAACACACGACATCTGCCACAGGACTGTTACCTGCCAGAGCGACACGGGCACCCCTCCAAAGAGCCGGTTGTAGCGAGCCACCTCCCTCAGCAGCTCGAGAGAATGCTCCGGGGAGAGAGAGGCTGGGCGCCGTCACACCCAGACTTAACCTTGTAACACCACGGGCACCACCCTACCTGCCACAGCGACACGGGCACGCCTCCAAAGAGCCGATTGTATCGGGCCACCTCCCTCAGCAGCTCCAAAGAATGCTCCGGGGAGAGAGGCAGGGCGCCGTCAGAAAGACGGTCTGAATCTGAAGGCTCAGGAGCAGCTGCACCGGCAATGTTCGAATTCCTTGCTTCCCCTGCTGCTAATTCTGGCTGCTGCTGCTGCCGGTACCCCTCCTCTTGCTGCGGCTCCTGCTGCTGCTCAGAACTGGAGGGAGAGGGCCTAAGTGACTCTCTCTGCTGGTTTTCCACAGGTTCAGAAGGAAATGCTCTTTGCGATTCTGTTTGCTGCTCCGAAGAGGGTCTGGGTGGATCAGCGAGAGAGGGCTTAGATGGATCAGAGGGAGAAGGCCTCTGATCAAGGCAACGACCGCTTGAGGGAGAAGGCCTAGATGATTCCCTTAGCTGGTCATCCAATGAGGGTGCGGATGGTTGAGGTTCAGGGGAGGGCAAAGGGTGTGTGGCTGTGTGGGTGGGAGGCGATGCTTCGACGGAGTGGGAGGGCAGGAGGAGGGTGATGGTGCGGCGGCAGATGGGGCACTTGCAGGGGACGAGCGCCGAGCTGTGATGCCACACCCTCAGGATGCACTCCGCTGTGTAGAATGCATGTGGTAATTGTGTTGGGGCATAACATACAACAGCGAGACATGGGGGAGGATGGGATGGGAGAGATATGAGGCAGATGGGGCACTTGCAGGGGACGAGAGCTGAGCTGTGATGCCACGCCCTCAGAATGCACTCCGCTGGGTGTATGGGGCACAGGGGGCATATGGGGAGCATGGGGGAGCATGGAGAGGTATTACTCATACGCGGCACTTGCAGGGGATGAGGGCGGAGCTGTGATGCCACACCCTCAGGATGCACTCCGCTGGGTAAGATGAGACATGGGGAGCACAAACGAGGGAAATGATACGTGAGCCCCAAGACCATCGCTGCCTTGATTGATTGTTGACCAGAGTTGGACCAGCGTTGACCAGAGTTGACCAGCGTTGACTCACCACAGAACCAGTGGCAGTAGTTGGCTTGGGTGGACAGGGCGAAAGAATCGTGACACACGCAGCCAATGTCGCCCTCTGGTGGCCTCAATTTCTGAGGTATCTCAGACATTGACCAGCGCCGTTGACCATTGTTGACAAGCGTTGACCAGAGTTGACCAATGTTGACTCACCACAAAACCAGTGGCCGCAGTTGGCTTGAGTGGGCAGGGCGAAGGCATCATGGCACACACAGCACATCTCGCCCTCTGGTGGCCTCAATTTCTAAAATGTATCAGATTTGACCGAAGTTGACCAGCGTTTGACTGGCATTGACTCACCACAGAACCAGTGGCCGCAGTTGGCTTGAGTGGGCAGGGCGAAGGCATCATGGCACACGCAGCACATCTCACCCTCCGGTGGCCTTGGCTCCGACCCTCCTGCCATTTCTCCTGCCCCTGATGCTCCTGCTTCTTCTGCTCTTGCTGTTGTTGCTGCTCTTGCCGCTGCTGCTTCTCCTGCTCTTGCTGCTGCTGTGTCTGCTGCTGCTGCTGTTGCTCCAATGCCTTCTGCCGGACCAACTCCACTTGCCGAACCAAATCCTCTTGCCAGACCAACTCCACTTGCCGAACCAAATCCACTTGCCGGACCAAATCCACTTGCCGGATCAACTCCTCCCGAACCAGTAGCAGCAGCTGTAGCACCAGTAGCAGTGGCAGTAGCACCAGACGGGATTGCAGCACCACCGAGGTTTTGGCTGGTGCTGATGCTTCTAGTGGCGTGGGGTGGTGTGGAACGGAACAGGGAGAGGAGTGAGACCCTGAGGAAAGAAAAGTGCCGGGAGGGGGGGGTGTTGGTGGGGGAGGGGGGAGAGGGGGGATGAGGGGTTGTAGGAAGGAAAGTGTTGGATTAGCGCGAATATGTTAGAAAGTGAGGATTCTGCCGCTGATACTAGTATAGCTTGACGACGTGCAGATTATGAACCGCCTCAAAAGAGGGGTAGGAGAGAAATCGTACTGAAAGTGAAGATTTCTCAGGATTCTTTTATTTTTTTGAAGGGTCGCGGCTTATTGACTTATCAAACTCCGCTGAGAGTTGAAGGTTCCAAAAAAAGGCATATCGATTAACCTTAAAAAGATACGCCAGAAACAGTCCTTTCACGGGAGAAGCTGAGCTGGGCTAACAAGCTACAATGGACTAACCTTAGGTATGGAGAGTAACGCAGCAGCCAGAGCGGGATACCAAAGACTGCTATTAACGCGTACAGCACCTCGTCACCCACACCATGCACCAGCGGCATCAGCGCAGCGCAATAAGAACTAAATCCTACTACTATCCTCGCCGTTGGCTATTATCGAGGCGCCTTTAAACACGAGGAAAAGAAACACCCTACTATTAGCCTCGGCGAAGGCCAGCACTCTCGAAGCGATTTCGGTTGAAGAACGAAACAAAAACACTAAAATTCTTAATACTGCCGAAAAGAAACAAGCTGTTGTGTTAGTAAAAGAAGAAATTGGCGAGGTTGATTCTACCCGTCGTCGTTCTTTGCGCTCTTTGACCGCTTCGCAAGAATTCGCGCGTCCGGAACGACGCAACGCTAAAAACGACAGCGAGAGTGGCAGTACTGGGTAAAAAATGTTAGCCTTTCTTCGACGCGGCGCGACTATGCAAGAATGCCTCTTAGTTTTGCCACTTACGAGAATCTAGAGAGCTCGTGTGCTGCCTGAGTTCTGGTTCTCCGTTTCTCGAGGCGTCACAGAATGATCAACCTCAGAACAGTGCTGAAATTGCTTCGGAATTCGGAAGCTGACGAGGGATAAGCGGCAAGGGAAGATCCATCCTGCTCATGGCTGATGGGTGCCTGCAGGAATTCCGTGTGGGGATGTTTCAACATAACTCGTGGATGATTTGAAGTTGTTACAGTTACAGCATGTAGAAAGTTCAAAATCCGGACCTTATATATTTCACATCAAGTTCATGGCTTATAACCCCATTATGGAATCCAGTTATTGTGCAATTCATGTACCGGTACGTTTGGTGGTTTGTATTGTAGAAACGAAGATGTGGCACAGGACTGCCATTGTTGCTGTCCCATTGTACATATCCAACTTCAGAAGCATAACATCTCAATGCTCCGTCACTCCCTACTCCTCATACCCCTCCTATTCCACCTGCTCCTCCCTCCCACATTACATTCTCCCTGTTCCCGTTCCCCCTGTTGCTCTGACATGCTCCTGCTTCTCTTGGCTCTTCCCTCCCTCTTATTTCTGCCATTTCCTGCTCGCTCAGACTCTTACACCACTTCCAAACCTGGGCGTAATCCCCTCCTGCTCTTTACACGCATGCATCTCCTCCTCCACCCCTTCTCCTGCTCTCCCTCCACCGCCGCCTTCTTATTCGTTTGGGCCGTTTTGGCCCTTCCAGTCATCCCGATCATCGTGTGTCCCCCTTGCTCCTCCCAATGACCCCCCCCCCCCCTCCCCCCCCCACCCCCTCCCCCTCTTCCCTTTCCTTTCTCCCCAAACCCCCCCATATAGTCTCGCTCCTCCACTCATTCTGCTCAATTTGTTCCCGCTGGAACTCCAATGCATCCTACTCATGTTCCTCTCCCTTCCGCCATTCCATTTTTACTCTTCAATTCCCCCCTGCTCTTCACCTCATCAGCAGGGGTTGCTCCTCCTGCACACCTCCTCCCTTCCCCCCTCTGCTTCTTATTCCTCCTCCTCCTCCTCTCCCCTCCTCCACCACCTCCTCCTCCTCCTCCTCCTCCTCCTCCTCCTCCTCCTCCTCCTCCTCCTCCTCCTCCTCCTCCTCCTCCTCTCCTCCGCCTCGCCCACTCGTCCTTTTGGCGCCTCACACCCTCCTCCTCCTCCTCCCGCTTCTCCTCCTGGCAATTCCATCGCGCTTCCCTATGCATCAAGTCCTCCTCCGCACGCCCCTCTTCCGCCCTCTTCGCCCGCCTCTTCAAGACCTCCCATTCCGAATCACTCCATCTCTCCCTGATTCCTAAGAATGCACCCCCCCCAAGTCGCTGCGCCTCCTTAGGTGGGAAGGGGTGAAGGGGGAAAGAAGGGGTGGAGGGGTGTGTGGAGAGGAGCAAGTGAGTATCGCACCAGACCTTCGATCTGACGTGCGACTCTCGCGAATTTGGCACAAAGAGGTGGTTTCATCGTCACAATTATAAGACCCCCCAACCAAAATAAACTATACACAATAAATCACTACCAAGCATGCAACATAACAAGGGAATTTCAGGATCGAAACGTTAACTGCTGCAAGTGAGCGAATGCACGGATCGTGCTGGAATGCTTGAGGGCAGGGGAATATGGGAAAAGTAAGGGAAGGACGGGGTATTACTAGGGGAGAGGAGCCGGGTGGGGAAGAAGGGAAGGGGTCGGGCGGGTGGGGGGGCTTGTTTATTTTGATTAATAAGAGAAACAAGAGACTGGAGGTCAGGCATCCATGGAACATGCATATAGGGGCTAGGTACAGGCATGTTTTCGAGCAAGAGAAGCGCGCAAGTGGAGCAGGGAAAAGGTCCTCCCTCAATCTCTCACACCCCAAAACTAACCCTCCACCTTACTCTCCTCCCAATCTTCATCTCTGTTCTATCGCGCATGCATAATATTAGACTTGAGTCTACTCAACGAGTTTTATATCAAACGCGGATTATACACTTTTGAGTCGACTCCTCTCCCCCTCTCTGCTCCTACCTGGCAGCCATCCGTTAGCAGCAAAGATGGCGTCGAAGGGGATTCCGGCGCCATTGCGCAAGAGTCGCTATCGCGGCAAGCAGGAGCATAAGCGAATAAGAGACATATGAGTGATGCCGCTCTGGACGAAGAGAGTTTTCAGTCGACTCAAAAATTCCGGCGCCAGTGAGATAAAGTCGTTATCGCGGCAAGCAGGCGCATGAGCGAATAAGAGACGTGAGTGCTGTGTCAGAATCCCAACCACTAGACCATTGGGATAAAAAGACTTGTTAAGTAGCGGGTTAGTGCGCACATAACCCCCCAGGCCAACATGCCTGTAACCCTTCCCTAGGATCAATCGGGGATCACCAGTGGACCTCTGACACCCCCCCGCACTGGGATGCCCGAAGTGCAAACACTGGGGTTCGAACCCGAGACCTTCGCTCTGATACCATGTCAGAATCCCAGTCACTAGACCACTGGGATAAAAGGGCTTGTTAAGTAGCGGGTCAGTGCGCACATAACCCCCCAGGCCAACATGCCTGTAACCCTTCCTTAGGATCAATCGGGGATCACCAGTGGATCTCTGACATGCTGCCGCTCTGAGACGAAGGGACGTCGGTCAGGAACGACAGGAGAGGAAAGAGGAGAAAGGCGGTCCGTCATCCGAGGCGTGTCATACCGTATCAGATGGTTTTTGCTCGGAACATGCCAAAACGCGACGAAGCGCGTACGAGCCGCTCCGAGAAGGACAACATCGTACCGCGTCGTAATAAAGTGAACTCGAAGCACACCCTAGTAGGGCGTGCAATATGCGTGGCGAAGGCGTGGTAGAGAGGGTTTCAGCTCAGGGTCATTTGGTCCAAAACATTTCGTGCATTTTGGAGGTGTTTTCGGCACTCGCGTTTCTGTGCGTTTCAGAAAGGTGATATAGGGTGACGAGATTCTTCGACATCCCAATAAAGCAATCACCAGTAAGACGAGACGACGTCTCTACGCGTTCAAGTGCGCTACAGTAAGATCTAGAGTACTATTTTAGTCTTACATGTTGATCTGCTTGAGGAAATGTGATAACATTCTAGAAGGTGTTAATGCCATGTCGTTTGGCAACTAGGGCCCCGCCCTGCAGAACCCCCAACAGCATTCAGGTCAAACCGTTGCCAAGTTAAAATGAAGTAGGAGCACATTATAATTAAATAATATATAAGCACACCAAACCAACAACTGTTACTATCGTTACCACGTTCCCCTCTTTTTAATTTGTCGGATAACATACGGTAACACCCTCCACCCGGCTCTCCTCTCTCTGTGCCCTGATTTCTCTCAACTCTCACCTCCTCCCCTCTAGTATGACTCCCGTTTCTCCTATCCCCACCCTCTCTCCCCAACCTCTTCTGCGTATGGCGCATCCCCTCCCTCACTGCTCTCTGTCAAATGTTAT